TTCTACGTGCATCCTGTCTCCGTCACTGTCGCAATCAGTCGAAGTCGCCACACGTCCCTGAAGACCCTCGCTTACTGAAAGCCCGTGTCCTGCTAGAAAAGCCAGCCCGCCTCTTCCTATCATGGAAGCTTTATTTCCCGCAGGAGGCGCTGTCCACCAGGCGGTGAGCAGTGGCCTCAGCGGGCACCTGGCCTGAGACGCAGGAGTGAGCAGTGGCCTCAGCGGGCACCTGGCCTGAGACGCAGGAGAGGGCGATGCCGGCGGGAGGGACCCCCTTAGAACGGTCCCCAGGGCAGACTCTCCCCCATCAGCCTGAGCTTCTCGGGGACGCCACCAGCCAGGACACTGTGTCACCACCATCCCCGTGTCTCCTGCTGGCACGGCTCAGGGCCGGGGCGTCGGAGAGCGGAGCTGAGAGCCTCGTCTGACTGTCCACCCTGCGTCCTCACCAGGACTCGCTCCTCCCCCACGACAGGACAGGCGGCAGAAGGGACCCACTGACCACATGCTGCTCTCGGGCTGGCAGATGCAGGGGAAGGGCGAAGGGCAGCATCTGTAAGTCTCTGGGTACTGTTTCTGTTTTCCATGTGAATTCCTTCTTTCATTCTCATTATTTTCCAAAAGCAGCATATGGTCTACAGATCCTGGAAAACCTTGCTTTTTCTGCCCACTTTACTGGGTTATGAAAAATAAAAGGGCTCTGAGGGTATGACCAGTGGTTCTTGCTTTTCCACACTGGCGAGGAAAGCAGCGGCGGCAGATGTTTTCCATCATCCACTTTATCGTTCCCGAGCATGACCAGACACGCGTGTGCACGGGCAACGCGCCCCCTCATGTTCAGGCCGGGTCATTTCTGTGCGGACCCGAGTGGGCGACTTTGGACGGGCGAGGGAATTGGACGCCGGCCATGGTTTTCCAATCAGCCGTTGTTCGCTATTTTCGAGTGAGTGTTCATTTTTCTAAAGGCTCTTTTGATTAATGGAAACCCTGGTCAAGGTGAGCACGAAATAAAAAAGATAATTCGATCTGGACAAAGAAGAAAACCAAGCTGATCAAGGTCTCCTCAAGGGCAGGCCAAACTTCAGACATCAGGTTCGCCACCCCTCACGCCACGACGGAAATTGGTACTCATCTTCCTGGACAATGTTCTATTAAGCGGAGGCATGTAGACATGTCCACCTCACGCATCATGTGTGAGAGGCAGCTCATTGCTATTGTATTCAAATAGTGAGGAGTGGTGAGGAAATGCTGGAATTATGGGTAAGTTCAAAACCACCCCACAAAATGAGGGGGCCACTGTTAGGACTCAGGAGAGGCCTGGGGCTTGTTGCCGACTTATTTCTCCAGCAGAAACATAAGATTAGGTTTTTAAAAATAGCCCAGGTGGCTAAGTAGGTTCAAGTGTTTCTCCTTGTGTATGAAAAGCTCCTATAGAAGTCCAGATATGCACAACTACAGGCCAATAAGCTGGACAATATGGATGAAATGGACAAATGCCCAGAAACACACCATCTCCAAAAATGAATCCGGAGGAAGCAGAAAACCTGAACAGGCCAATACAACTGATGAAATAGAAGCAGGAATCAGAAAACTCCCAGCAAACAAAAGCCTGGGTCCAGACGGCTTCACAGGGGAGTTTTACCAGACATTCAAAGGAGAACTAACACCTATCCTCCTCAGACTATTCCAGAACATCCAAGAGGAAGGAACACTTCCAAGCTCTTTCTATGAAGCCAGCATCACCCTATTCCCAAAACCAGATAGAGACACACAAAGAAAGAGAATTACAGGCCAATATCCCTGATGAACACAGATGCTAAAATCCTCAACAAAATATTAGCAAATCGCATCCAGCAGTATGTTAAAAAGATCCTACACCACGATCAAGTGGGATTTATTCCAGCGATGCGAGGCTGGTACAATACCGCACATCAACAACGTGACACATCAGAGAAACAAACGGGAAGAAGCCCAGGCAACCACACACTGCCCTCACACCAGCCGGCTATACCTGGTCCTTCCTCTTTCTCCCTTTTCTTGACCAGAGAGAACCGTGTGGTTGCAGATCTTTATAAATCCCTGGGAAAGGAGACGGAGCACCGTCTCTTGTCCACACAGGACCCCTTCCTCAGGGCCGGCTCAGCACCTGCCCATCGTCGCCGCGCGGGACCTGCCTGCAGACCCTCAGCCTGGCTGGTCGCCTGATCCTGGAGACGGCATCTGGCGGCCCCTTGGAGTGTGTACTTGTGGTCACTGACAGAGGTTGAAGCGCCGGGCCTGCGCCCTGGCTGAGGGCCAGCTAGGCCGCACCCAGACACACTGCGCACCGGGGCTAAGCCGTCCTGAAGGAGTCCTTGAAGACGGCCACTTTTAAAACTCCTTCAGCATATTCTTTCCAGGAGGACTTTTTGAATGATCGCTTAAGTCCACAGGCTTTAGTGGGATCACGGGACATTGACCGGCAGATCTGCGAGGCCCGGTCTTTGCTAGGGAAGGCGGGCTCCAGGGAGACACGCACAGGACCGCTCCCTTCTGGGGCCAACGCCTGCCAACCGTGGGCTCCGGTGGTCACTTACCCTCTCTGTTCACACCACTGGGTGACAAGAGCCACTGTGCAGGTCTGTCATAAGAATGAGAGAAAAATACAAGGCTGGGGGCGGGTGCTTTTGCTTCTCTAGAAGGAATTAGCCAAAGCCTGGCATTCTCAGTACTTTTCATATTCCCACTAATCGTCACAATAAGTAAGAACCCTACCCTGCTCCCTCAGGCCCCGCCCCAGAGTTCCTGAGCTGATGGAGGGGGGGGGGGGGGGGGGCGGGTGACGAAGGAGCCTCTAACCCAGGCCTTCGGCTCGAGAGCCCCTGGGGGAGCTTCCCCTGCACCGCCTCCCACGGAGACGCCCGGTGATGGAGAGCTGCTCCGGCCCAGCCCACAGTCGTGCATACGTGACCCCTACACTCAGGTTTGGGGCATTCAGGCAGATGCTGGGGGTGCTTTTCCTTTGTGTTTGCTTCTATTTCCCCCATGGAGCGTATTTTTCAAGGAAAAGTGCATGTTTATGGTTTCTCCCTGTTAACTAAAGATTGGCCACACTGAGCCCCCCCGCCACACACACACTTGCTGACACCCGGGCGGCTGACTCCTTTATGGGCCTGGCCTCCCTGCCCGACTGCCCCACCTGACTTAGCCTTCATCCACCTGTGGCCACAGGGGCATCGGCAGGGGAGCCTCGTGTAACAGACCCACCTGTGTGGTGAGGGGACCTTTCACCTCCAAGGCGAGGTCACACCGCGGCTCAAATCCCGGGCCACCGCTTAGCGGGCTTGTTTGCCTAATCTCCTTAAGCCTCCTTCCCTCCCCAATCTAAAATGGATTTGCTAACAGCGCTTACCTCAGAGTGTTTCCACATAATTAACGGAGATAACCCACGGAAAGGATTAGGCTTGGAGTTCCGTAATGATTGGTTACTGCTCTTTCTACTGGGAACAGTGGGAGGTGAGTAACAGTCACAGCCCCTGTGCAGGGGTGGGGCTGGGTGGGGCGGGGCGGGGCCGGACAGACCAGCAGGGCTGGTGGCCGCACTGAGAAGGCGAGGGGCATCCGGTGGAGAACACTGTGGGGCTTTAAGACAGAAGCTCTCTCCAGGGACAGCCAGAGGACGGTCCGCTCCAGGGTCAGGGCGGACCTGGGTCACTCAGGGGCCAGTCTTCGCACCTGGCCTCCTGTGAGGCTGACATGTATTGGACCGAAACACTGAACTCACTGTTCGTAATCGCTCCGTTTTCCCCAGCATGAGCCGAGGTCCCTGCTGCCCTCCTCCAGCACCTTTGGGGCCTCCCTACACCCCATTATTCTATTCCTCGGGCACAATCCCGATCTAGGCCCTCAGCACCCCGTGAAGGTTTATTAATAACCTCTCTGCCTTCAATCTGCCACCAACCTCAATCCAGATGGCAGAGGGTTTTGGCACTAAGTGGCTCTAACATCATCTCACGCAGCACTGTGTCTGCAGCACATTGTCCAGCTCTCTGCGGCCTGCAGGGCACAAGCTAAACTCTCTCGCCACCACTGGGCCCGATGTGGTAACAGGGACCTGTGTACACGTCGGCCCCTGGTCGCCCCAGCTCCGTCCTTTCCTGCCTCCCCAGCTGTACCCTCTCCACGCGCTGCCCGGCCTCCCCACCCTCACACATTCGCATCCACCTCACATTCAGCCCAGTGAGTCCTGCACAGCCTCACGCTCACGCCACCAACTAGCTGTGTGCAAGGTTTCCGTCGGCTCCGAAAGCCTTTTCTCTGGGGGCCGGAGAGGAAATGTCAGGGCTCTTGGGCCACCGAGTCCCAGTCCGTCTGTGGAGGGCTCGGCCGCCTGCACAGAAGGGGTGCGGCCGCGCCCCAATAGGACTTCACCGTGGGTGCCGAGCGAAAGCTTCGCCTAACGGTCACGGCTCACACGGTACTCTTCTTCCTCTGGTGTTTCCCAACCACGTAAACACGGCACACACGTCCTCAGCCTGTGGACGGTGCAGACCAGCGAGGCCACAGCAGACGCTGGGCTGCGGGCCCCTGTTCCAAAGGCACCTGGTCGCTGTTCCCCCGGCCACAGCTTCCCTTCACACCTGCCCCTCACACTCAGCATCCTTCAGCGCACGATCTTCAGGAGACGCCCCTTGGATGTTGACATCTATACACAAACCTGCTACCCACACACAGATCCAGGACGCGTACCCTTCCCAGCACCATAGGAAGGTGAAGCGGGCACCCACAGTCTCCCCTCCCTCTGAGGGAGGCCGTCCCTCTCCTGTCAGCAGTCCTCACTGAAGACATGGGCCCCGGCACGGCTCCCTGAGCCGACAGAGTCCTGCAGCTCTGACTGAAACGTCCGACACCACTAACATGACAACCACACGGAAGCCGTTGGTGAGAGACACGGTGACTCCAGTGGCAACTCTGACCCGTGTGTTCCCTTTGCCCGGCGGCCGCTGCCAGCCCGTCCTTACCTGGGCCAAGGTGAGCGTGGCTTGCTGGCAGGAGCCGCACCGCACCCGGAGCTTCCCGGGCTGCACCCGCTGGCAGGGGCCCTTGCAGTAGACGTAGAAGCTGTTGTGGGCCGGTCGACCTGCTGGGAAAGAAGCAGAGGCGTGGCCATCATGATCGACGCAGAACCAAACGGGCAGCGTTCGGGCTGACTCCTCAGAGCACGTGGGACAGTCACGGGGCAAATGGTCCAACGAGGCTACAACAGTGTAATTTGGGAAATCTAGTTTTATGCTCAAAATAGCGAGAGCCGTTTCTTCTGGCCCACAGCCCCGTGTCTGAGCCACGTGGGCGACCTGCTGCCTGGAGAGCCGGCCGCATTGCCGGGACTCGGGGACATGCAGGGCACCCTCTGGGGCCGAGGCTTCCGAGGAACGGGAGTGTGGGGGCTGTGGGGACGCAGAGACCGTGCTCCTGAGTTCAAGTCCACGCTCTGAACACCGTTTCGAAGGCTCCAGACCTTTCCCCTTCCTATCGATCCACAGGGATGGACCAGCAATCTCTCATGATGCGAGTACCTTCCCAGTTTGCTGGGTTTCAGCACACGGTCACACCCGGGGAGACAGAGCCGCGAGGGCGGACCGCACACAGGCCTGGACGGGGCTTTGCACTTCAGTGGGTTCTCCACCAGGACACATGCCGCCCTAGGAACACGCCGTCAAGAGTCAAAGCCGGGCAAACAGATCAGTCCCCACGCGCCTCTGGCAATGAGGACGCCTTGCTAGCGGGGTTCACACGTCCACATTTGCAAAGAGCGAACTTTATGCAAAAGCACTGACCAGTAAAAGAACCACCTTTCCAGATTTCTAAATCTCTAACGTTACTAAATACTTCTTTTAATCCTTAACTTCCTTCTTGCTGGGTAGGAGTTACCTAAGGCCATGCATAAAATTTTGTTTATCATCTAGAAATAATATACAGTAAGTATTTTTTGATCATTAGGAGTTAAAACCTTTAGACTCGGAAATGCATATGATTTATTGAAAACAGTATAAACATGAGAAAAGATCCTAAAGTCTTATGAAGCTCCATTTGTTTTATCAATTTACAAAAAAGACATTGAATTGTCATTTGTTCAGCCATCTTTACTAATATTATGGGTGAAAATACTGGTAAAATGAAAAGCACAATAAAGATGTCAAGTTTCATATTTTTATCATTTATTGGCAATATACTTTATAATCCTTAGTCTCCAGAGGTTAATATCTGGCTTCCAGTTTCCATACATATACACATACGTATATCTACCTTTTCACACCAGAAGTCATTGATAAGAAACTATCCTTTTCTGACACCTTATCGTGACTTTAGTGCCTTAATGTGCAAGGTATTTAGGTTGATGAATATCAGTGTTGTTAGCAATATAATAACCACATGAAATATATCCTCAAGGTCATATATGTATCAGAAACGTGGCAGATGGAAGCATGTTAAAGCTACAGAGACACCACGATAACCGACAGAACACGGGAAGATGCAGCACTGTGACATTTGAATGTGGAGGAAGGTGAGCTTGGTGAAGGAGGCAGAGCCTTTACTGTTAAAACCTTTATCAACAATATGGAAAAATCCAGTTCTTCAATTTTTATCACCTACCGTAAAGGTTAAACGATTTTCAAAAGGAGGGAGAGAGGGAATGGGTAAGGGAACGCTCCCAGAGGCGCCCGGGCCACAGACACCAGCCTGTGGGCAGCACAGTCAGCAAGCTCCACAGCAGGAGCCAAGCATCTCAGGACCGGGGACTGGGGCCTGCTCTCTCCCTCCAAGTGCGTTCCCAACAGTATCTCAACTATTGGGACACTGAAGAATCTGAAGACGGACCCCCCACCTCCTGTGCCGCCACCTTCGCTGGAGGAGAACAGAGAAAGCACTGCAGCCCATGCCCGGGCCGTGCAGCCCACCGATGACACGTGGTCATTACTCAGCTGCCCAGAGCGGCACTGGCTGGGCAGGAAGAGCCAGTCTGAGGAAGGCCGAGGTCAGGCCAGGCCCGGCTCCAGCAGATTCTGAGCTGCTGGCTCTCTGTGGCCCGCAGTCGATAAACCCTGAGACCCCTTTTCAGGAAGGCTTCCCGCCTCCGTGGCTACAGGACACTGCGCATACCGGCTTCTCTGCGTCCTGCTGAGCTCTGAGAGCCCAGGACAGGACAGGACAGGACGGGAAGCAGAACAGACACCCCGAGGGGCATCTTCTGGAAAGGCTCCCGGCCCCCGCCCGCAGGGCTCAGGCTCACTCACACTCTTGCATGTGGAGCCCCGATGCCTACGGGAGCAGTGAGGCGAGTATCAGCGCCAGCAGCTGGTCTGGAGGGTGTCGCTGTCTCCAGTTACCAGCGTGGACCCTGCCCGTTTACCTGTTTGGATCTTAAAACCCTTTTTCTCTCCTGACCAGCCCTTTGAAGGGGAGCCCTTCCCATGCAAATGAGTCAAAGCAGCGTGTGTTGGTAGCTTCCCCTCCTTCTATTATAAGTTTTCAAAACTAGAGAAATATTCCACATGTGGACTTGCTCCGGACAAGCT